TTGGATGGGACACAAACAGGGAATGGCATTTGGGATGAGGATATTTAAGCAGTCAGTGGAGGAGAATTTAACAGCACCTAAAACATCGAGTAGTAATTGGGAAATCCCTCTTAAAAACCATCAGATTTTCAGGCTTCCCCTCCAGCTTGGTTGGGTTGGGGCAGAACTGGGCAAAAACTGGATATTCTTTTTTTTTCCAGGGATGCCTTTGTACCTCCCTCCGTACCTAAATGGGAGCTGTGTGTTCTGCACTCACATCCAGAGATGATAATTCTTGTAGGGGAAATTAAAGAGCGGCTGAAAACACACATTTTTTAATGGGATACCCTATGGCTTTGTTGAAGACTTTCTCAGAGGTGATTTTGTCTCACAAGGCTCTCAGCCTGACAGACACAGTGCAGTATTTTAACTGAAGAGCCACAGGCCATTTTCAGGGCCCAGGGTTTGTGTTACTTCAAGCTTGAATGGCGAAAACGTAATTAAAAAGTGCTTTTTGAGCACTCACTTTTTTTTTTTTTAATCAAGTAGTTGGAACTTAACCTGAGTTTAGTGTGCAAGTTTCTATACTTTTTTTTTTTGAGGGCTGATGTGGTGTGAGTTGCCACAGTTTATTAGACAGTGCATTAACTCCTGGATTTGCATTGGAAAGGACACGGGGCAAAGCAAATCAATATGTGGATGTTGAGTAGCAGAGCAGGCTGGACTGGAGTTTTTAATCCATAAGCAGCTTGTGGGAGCTTGGTGCCTGCTGAAATCATGGCAGGGTTTATTATTTTGGTAAATAATAGTTTATAATCTTATATTGTTTTGGTAAATAATTCCCCCTGAACCTTGGGAAGGACAGGCCGTAATTTTCCCAGCTCTAATACCTTTTTCTTGGAGGTTAATTCGGTTTTTATTCCCCAGGTATGATCTTATTTCTGAGGAGTGGCTTCCCCTGAACAACTCTGTGAACTCAGTGGAGATGAGATATGGGCATTCCCTGGCGTTACATGAGGTGAGTTCAGAGTTCCAAACTCTCTTCCCAGCTGATTCCCCCCTCCTTCCCTCTGGCTTCCCACCCCTTATCCCGGATCTGGGAGAAGCATTTCTCCTTCCAGGGCTTGTCCATGGTTAGCCCAGGCCGTGTGCTGGTGCTCCAGAGAATCCTTGAGCTGAGATCCTGGCAAGTCTGTGGTGCCTTTGCTTGTGTGTTCCTTGCTTGCCCTTTTTTCCAGGGATTTTAGGGCTGTCTGAGGTCAGGGAGTCCATCATTTCCTCCTCCTTGCTGTCTGTGCTGGCAAGACAGGCCTGAGGCTGAGTTTGCTGGAGTTCAGCTGCTTCCCAGCTGCCTTTTGTGCGGGTCCCATAAATATTTTTAGGAGCTCTGTTGTTCCAAGACACCGGAGCAGAGCTGGGGAAATCAGGGATTTTTTGGAACTTGCTCTGCTCCTGCAGTAAAACTGTCGGTCAGCTCTCCCAGCATCCACAGCAGGTGGATTTGGCTGCTTTTAACCTCCCTTTTCTCCCCTGTGTGCGGCAGAGCAGGATGGCAGGGTCCTTTGGAAAGGAAATGAGCTGATCCTTTCCTGACCTTTGGATTTTGGAATGTTAATTAGCTCATCACGGGTGGAAGGCTACACGAAGCTTAATTGTAAACACTCAAAAAACTCCCCACTGGCACCACTTGACAAACAGAGCACTTGAACAACCTGAAAGGGGGAAATTCGTCCTGGAATCACGGAATGGTTTGGGTTGGAAGGGACCTTAAGGATCACCCAGTCCCACCCCCTGCCATGGGCAGGGACACCTTCCACCATCCCAGTTTGCTCCAACCTGGCCTTGGACACTTCCAGGGATCCAGGGGCAGCCACAGCTTCTCTGCCCAACCTGGGCCAGGGCCTCCCCACCCTCCCTGGGAATGATTCCTTCCCACTATCCCATCTCTCCCTGCCCTCTGGCAGTGGGAAGCCATTCCCTGTGTCCTGTCCCTCCATGCCTTGTCCCCAGTCCCCTCTGAGGAGACTTCCTGAAGCATTTCCAGTTCCTTCAGACCAGCAATTCATTCCTTACCTTTCCTCTCTCCCCTAAATCCCTTTCCCTCAGGACAACATCTACATGTACGGGGGGAAGATTGACGCCACGGGGAACGTGAGCAGCCAGCTGTGGGTGTTCCACATCTCCAACCAGAGCTGGGCCCAGGTGTCTCCCAAGGCCAAGGAGCAGTACGCCGTGGTGGGACACTCTGCCCACATCGTCACCCTGCGGGACAACAGCACCGTCATGCTGGTCATCTTCGGCCACTGCCCCCTCTATGGCTACATCAGCAACATCCAGGAGTACAACCTGGGTGAGTGGGGCCCTGCCTGCCCTGGGTTTGGGGTGGTCTGACGGTTAATTTAGCTGTTAATATTTGTATAAGAGAGCAGACTCCAACTTTATACCCCCATGGGAGCTCCTGAAGGCAAAAAGATCTCTAGTGGAGCAACAAAGCAGGAGAACTGGGGGCCAGATGAATTTTCCTCTTTCCCTCTGGTAAAACAAACGCTTCTGAAGTTATCTTTTTAATCAGATTTTTTTTTCACTAAGGTTTTTTTTTTTTAAATTCAGACCAAACACCCACTCAGCCTGATCCTTGTATCCCCAGCAAGGGCTTAGGGGAACAGGGGATGGATTTCTGGATTCCCATGTCCCTGGTATGGTCTGATCCACCATTCCTCTGGGAATAGAGATGGTGATTTGAAGCTTCTAAGGGTGATTTTAAGATCCAGGGGTTTCTAGTGAAGCACAGGAAACTCTCTCCAGGTGAACTGAATTTCCTCCTAACTCCGAAATGCGGGCACGTCCCTGGCTCCAGGGTAGGGATCATGGGAAAGCACAGGAAGCTCACACAGGAATGTGCTGGTTGTTCTCAAAAACAGTGGCCCTGTCTGCACTGGGAACCTGTTAGCCTTGTCTTCCCAGTCCCCCTGATCCAGGGAATCTGCTGGAGCTGGTTCTCTGGTGTCCACAGGAGGGAGTTTTCTTCCTCTTGGAGAGATCCAGGCCGTGTAGGACAGTGGTTTGTTTTTCCCACACTGTCCAGTTCCTTTGCCTTTTGTGTTCCTGCTCTGCCCTGGAGTTGGGAAGCCTGTGCAGGGTTTCACTGTGCACTTCCTAGGGAGATTGGCTGTGTAATTTGGCAGTTTTATTCCAGTTGCTGTTACATTATGTCCAAAGTGCTTCAGACCAATGTTATTTTAGTGAGTGAGATACAGGACCATTAATCACAGATTAGTTTTTAACTGCCCTGTTCTTCGCAGTCAGACTTGGCTTCAAGTGCTGTCTGGCTTTACATATATATATTTATATGTGCATAAAAAGTAAAAGTGCTCTTGGGTCCCATTCCAAACCCAAGTCCCAGTGCTGGCATTTCCATGCCACTGGAATGCAATCTATTATTTCTCTGTTTTTTATGTCTCATTTGCTTAGATTGCCTGCAAAAAATGTAATAAATGACCGTGAAAAAGCTACTTCTGCCCTAATTAAAAATACTTTACAGTCCTTCTCGACAACAAACCCCTGGAAGGAGGATATTTTTGGCTGTGAGGTGATGAGGGGCAGGGTGCAGATCTGAGTTGGGGGAGCCCCAGTTTGCCTCCCCACGTTGCCGATGAGTTATTCACGGAGAGGAACTGATTGTGGTTTTATCCCCCTGTTTTTCAGTGACAAATACCTGGAGCATTTTACAGACCAGTGGAGCTTTGGTGCAGGGTGGGTATGGCCACAGCAGCGTTTATGATCCCAACACCAGGTCGATTTACATCCACGGAGGTTACAAAGCCTTCAGTGCCAACAAGTACAGGCTGGCAGATGATTTGTACAAGTATGAAGTCGATTCCCGGATGTGGTAAGTGGGTTTTCCTTCTTTTTTTTCCTGTCTCCCCAGCCCATTTTTTTTTTGTCTGTAGTGGACAAGAGGATGGAGGATTTGAGAGGGGTACGGTGGTTTATATCTGCCCACGTTCAGGAGAGATGCTGCTCTCCTGGATCCCTTATTTTTATATCCCTTCATGAGTGGAGAATCATATAATCACATCTAATCAAGGCTGTGAACGAGCCAAGCCATCCATTTTAATCTGTTGTTCCGTTCAAGCTGAAAAGAAAAATATTTGATGGTTTTTCTCTTGCCAGGCTGTGCATATGAGTGCAGTTACTGCAGTCAAGTGAGGGATAATTCACTCTGCAGTTAAGACTGTGAAAGAATTTCTATTACAAACCCATTTTCTTCTGGCTCTGTAACTGCTTGAAATGTTCATTTCTTAAGCTGAAAATCTTCTGTGATTTGTTTCTGCCCAAAGGTGAGTTTTATTAAAAAGCTGTAGCCACACTTGACAACTTGGAGGTGAAAGGCATTTTCTCCTCAGTTCTGTGGTTTTCTTCAAGTTTTTTCTAAAAGCTCCTGACAAAAAGGAGACTGTATTTTGAGTTGAGACACGGAAATTTGAGTCACCATATCCCTTTTTTTTTTTTTGAGGGTTAAATTAGCCTGTGTTTCTGCAACAACTGCCTGTGAGTCTGTGCTGATGAGTGAAATAACGAGGGACTAATTTCCAAACTCTTCCTTCCTGCTCCCCTTGTGCACACAGTGTAACCACACTTCCTTTCTGGGTTCATTTGATCCTCCACTTCAGCCAATTCAGCAAATCTGGCTGAACAGGCAGAAAAATGTCACAAAAGTGACAGCACCAACTTCCTCGTGTCACTTGGGCTCTGCCAGCCCAGGGAGCCCTGGGGAACAAACCCTGCAGGGAGAGGGTGGGACTGTCTGCTCATCTCTAGCTCTGCTTTTTTATTGCTGCCATTGCCTCCCTTTTTTAATTCTTCACTGGTTTAGGCCCTCTCTTCCTCCTGGAGCCCCTCATTCAACCCAAACCCTCTCAAAATAATAGGAAGATTCCACGAAGGATGATCCTTTGTGTTCAGTGCTGTCAATCCCACTTATTAACCGTGGGATCAGCGCTCAGTTTGATTATCAGTGCTCTCCATAATTTAGTCCCAGAGGAGCCCTTGAGTTGGGCAGGTATTAACCTGCAGGGGCTCCATTTTTGGGAGCTGCTAAAATTTCCTTAAAAACCAGGATTCTTAGTTATGAGCAACAGCTGCTGCCCAGTGTGGGAGAATCCTTTGGGCTGCTGTAAAAGCAGAGTTACTCTGAAATATTGGAGCCCTCCCAGGCTGTCTGCGCTCAAAAGCCCACTTGGAGTGAAAAGCTGAGAATCCCCGGGGAGGGAACGGATGATATGAAGATCCACAGCTCTGGAAAGAGGCTCTCCTAGATATATTTCTCCTCTAAACTGGCTGAGCAGATGGGGAAGACGAGAGCGGGAATTACAGGAGGGATCGAAGAGCGCGGAGAGGAACTCGTCGAACACCTCGTTAGGAAAAGCAGTTCCAACCCTTACCCCCCCCCCAAACCTTTCCCTGTGCTTCTCCAGCTCAGATTTCCAGGTTTTTTGTTTGTTTGTTTGTTTGTTTTCCCAGCCTGGCTAACGGGTGTTGTTTACATTCCCCAAAAGGACCATCCTGAAGGACAGCCGGTTCTTCCGCTACCTGCACTCGGCCGTGGTGGTGAGCGGCACCATGCTGGTCTTCGGGGGCAACACCCACAACGACACCTCCATGAGCCACGGGGCCAAGTGCTTCTCCTCCGACTTCATGGCCTATGACATCGGTAAGTTCTCCCAGGAATGGTGATAAACCCCCACCCCCCAAAATTCTCAGAGAGGGCCATCTCGAGTGTTGCTGAGCGGGAGGGGATGTGGGATGGGGGCAGAGGAGGCTGCTTAGGTTGCTCCAGAGTTCCAAGGAAATGAGGTGGAGCAGCGATTTCCAGGTACAGACGGCACCTGCGTGACCCTGGGCATTAAAAATGAGGTTTTTGTTACGGATTCATAAAAATCGAGGGATCGTTAAGGTTGGAAAACACCTTAAGGATCGTCGAGTCCAGTCATCAACCCAGCACCACTAAACCATGTCCCCAGGTGCCACACCCACACGTTTTTTGAACACTTCCAGGGATGGTGGCTCCACTTCTTCCTTGGCTCCACTGGCACCTTATTCCAGTGTTTTGCAACCCTTTCCTTGAAAAAAAAAAAATGTCCTAAAAATCCAATCTAAACCTCCCCTGGCACAACTTGAGGCTTTTTCCTGTTCTGCTGTCTCGGCCATTGAGTTCTCCTGATCTTTTGGGTGTGGTTTAATCTGTGATTTGATAAAAAAAGGCAGGTTTTTTAGGACAGTTCCAAGCACTGGAAACTGCTGAAACTCAGCCTGTGCAGTGCCCACTCTGTTTTTTTCTGGTTTTAACTGCTTTATTCAGCAGTGAAGCAGAGTGGTGGGTTGGCTTTGCTGAATTTGAGCAGCCAGGAGAGGGCAGCATTTATTTGTGAATTTGGAGTCCAGGGATGGTGAATTTAGGAAGGAGAAGAGATGAAATTATCTAAAAGAAGAGGTGGAATTATCTAAAAGAAGGTACATACATGCCCAGATAGCTCACAGTGGGGAAAAACACCGTTCTCTGTTCTATCACATCTGTCTTTTGCTCTCAGAATTCCCTGAATTTGGGGTTCTCATGATGGATTCCCTGAAATAATCATGGAAATCTGAAATCTTCCAATGACTGTCCCCTGAGATCTCCCTCCTGGTTTGTGAGAGGAAAACACAACTGACCCAACCACTTGGATCAGCAGGGTTGGACATCCTTGTGCCATTTTCCCCCTTCGTTACAGGGATCATTCCCTGCTGCTTCCTGGGATTTCAGATCGTATTCCCGTGGAATTTTTATAACTGGCTTTATTTTTATGGTGTTTTTTTCTTAACTTGAAGAATTAAAATGAGGTATTTCACCAGGTTGGACAGGGCTTGGAGCAGCCTGGGCTGGTGGAAGGTGTCCCTGCCCAGGCAGGGAGTGGAACAAGATGCTCTTTGAGGTCCCTTCCAACCCAGACCATTCCACTGACTGTTGACAGTCGTCAGCAGTTTAATTTCTTAAACTTTGATTGCCACAGTGATTGATTTTCCCTGCTGCATTCTGCTGCCTGCCCTGACCTACTGAACTGCCTGTTGGATTTAAAGCTCAATTCGCATTAATTTGACAAAATGTGCCAACAGTGATGTTCATTTTGACTCGTCGTAGTTACCAGGCAGGTTCCTGTTACATGAAATAAGGGGTGCAGGTAATTTTCAGGTTTACACTGAGATTTGGAGCTTGCATTGATTTAATTTTCCATGATGGGGTAGGACGTGTTTTTGGGTCCCCTCATTCTTTAGGCAAGAGACTCTCAGCCCAAAAAGAGCAGCTTTTTTTTTTTTTTTTTCAGATAACAGACCACTTTTTCTGTTCCCTTCATGGCAGGACCCCCTGTGCCTGATTGTCCTTATCCCATCTGGCTGGGAGCAGTGCCAGGAACACCTCAGGGTGATGGCTGATCATTGGTGTCACAGCAGAAACACCTTCTTGGGTGGTTCTTCCTGCAGGATCTCTGCAGTAATTAATTATCTTGTTCATATTCACGTTGGTCTCCATGGAAATAAGTCCATGGAAACCCCCTGTTATCTGTCCCTCGATATTCCCAGAGAAAACCCAGCCAGGTCAGTTTTTTCCAAGAGGCTTAATAATTTGTCTTTATTCCCCACTTTTATAATAATCTGGCTGGCTGGTTTGCTCTCCTTTTGCATCCTGTTGTTTAATGATCCTGATTGATTAGTGATTAGGTTAATTAGTGATCATACTGATGCTTGGAAGGCTGGAGAACACTGGAATTAAACCCAGTCTAAAGCAAAGGCTTCAAACCCAGCTCTTCTTAACCTTTGCCATTGAAACTCATTTGGGAACGAACTAATTTTATTTACATCACCATTTTTTTTCTGGCTTTCCCTCCTCCAATTTCCAAGGAATGAGGAGTGTTCTGAGGACATAAAAACTCTTTTTTTTTCTTTTTCTTGGGGGGAGGGAGGGGGAATGCCAGGTGATGTCAGAAATGCGTGCTGGGCTTTAGGAGTTGGGGAGATCTGAGAATTCGTTGGTGCTTCTTGTCCTTTATCCTCCACTTGACCAGGGTGGGGTGTATCCAATCCAAACTGTCCAGGTTTGGGAAGCTTTCAGGACAACAACCCAGCTGTCTGGGGCTTTTTGGCCTTTGCCAAAGAATCTCCTGCTCTGCAACAGCTTTAAATGTAAAAAATGCCCCATTTAATCCTCTCCTATTCATGTCAAGCTCTATTTGTGTAAAGATCTTTTCTCCCCGCAGAGGGAAAATTAAAACTCTTCCATTTCCCCCCTCAAAAATTCAGATTTGGATCACAAAGATGGGAAGAGGGAGAATGTTTTCCTAGCAGATGTGCTCTGTTTGAACAGCACCTTCAATAAATCCTGGCCATTGTCAGTCTTAGGCTTGGCTTAACTCCTTAATCGGGAAGGAGAAGATTCTTTTGTAGTCTCAGAACTACTCATTTTTTTCCAATACTTGGTCTTGAGTTAAAGATGGGAAAGAAGCTTAGAAAGCAAAACATTCCAGGCTTTATATTAATCCAGAAAAATATGTTTCTTGGCCTCACATAACACACGACTTGATGGCTAAAAAATTATAAAATTGCCTTCCAGTTTTGCTGAAGTCTCCTGCTAAAAAAACTGGAGTGGTGCGTTCTTGGCTCGGGGACGATGCTGGGATAGGGTAAATTCTTGGGAAATGGAGCAGATGACATGTAAAAATAAACTTCAAAATCCCACTCTATCAAAGGATGAAATCCAACAGGGCACTTTGTCTTTTATTGAGCAGCACTTTTGGACCAAATTGCTGCGGATCTGTTGTTTTATCCCACAGCTCTCCAATTAAATTAGGTAAAAAATGAATAAGTTTGTTCTTCTTCGCCCTCATGGACTAGTTTGGTTCGTGGGCCTTTGTTTTTTTTTCCCCTTTCCCCAGAGGTTCAGTCCGTGGCACAGCAGTTTTATCCTGTGCTAAAGAATCTTGGAGGATTTGAGGGCTCTGTGGATCTTTACAGCAGATTGACTTTTCTCTCTTAATTGCATAAATTGCATCCAAGTGCCTCTGGGATGTTGGTCCCCAAGGTGATTCCCATTCCCTTTCTGAAGTTGCAGTGACATGAGCTGGACTGACTTTCCCTGCCTTTGTTCCTTTGCTCAGTGGGTTGGATGTTTCTTAGCTTGTTTTTCTTCTTTTTTTTTTTTTTTTATTTTTTTTTCCCCCCACACACTGCCCAAAGGAAAAAAATTACCTGAGAAACCAAGTGAAAAAAAAAAAAGAAGCAGAACTTACAAATGTTATGCTAATAGAAAAAAAAAAAAAAATGGAATAATCCCACGTTGTGTTAAAAGAGGAAAACAACCACGAATCCCTGAGCTACGATGAGTGAGAAATGTTTTTGAGAACATGGGTATCTGCCCTCTAGGAACATAATTGCAATGGAAATAAAAAGAAAGATAAGCCTCTGTTCTCAGTGATGCTGGTTTGGGGCAAAACTGCAAATAATTCACGTGTAAACAGATAAAAACTGAACTTGTTACACGGGGAAAAAAAAAATCCAACTGGTAAAGGAGGGAAGCAGCTTCCTCTTGCCCTGTTCCCTGGGATAAGAGCCCAGGAAAAAAAGACCAAGCCCCTCTTGGCCCCCCCCTCCTGTCAGGGATTGCAGAGCCAGAAGGTCCCCCCTGAGCCTCCTTTTCTCCAGGCTGAGCCCCCCCAGCTCCCTCAGCCCCTCCTGCTGCTCCAGCCCCTTCCCAGCTCCGTTCCCTTCCCTGCACACGCTCCAGCCCCTCAGTGTCTTGGTTGGAAGATCCCAGGTGCTTTGGGATTTCTCAGGAAGGATTATGCTGTTTAATTGTCCTGTTCCTTATCCTGAGAGTGCTTCTGAAAGGAATGTTTTCCCTCCCAGCCTGCGATCGGTGGTCGGTCCTTCCTCGCCCGGGGCTCCACCACGACGTGAACAGGTTTGGACACTCAGCTGTGCTGTACAACAGGTAAGGACAGAGACACTCCCACCTCAATAAACACCCCCCCACGGGGAACTCAGTGATGCTGAGACCAGAGGGGTGAGGATCTGGCCCAGACCTCCTTCTCCAGGGAGGTTGTGGCTGTCCCTGGATCCCTGGAAGTGTCCCAGGCCAGGTTGGAGCAACCTGGGCTGGTGGAAGGTGTCCCTGCCCATGGCAGGGGGTGGAATTGGAGGGTCTTTGAGGTCATTTCCAACCCAAACCATCCTGTGATTCTCTGAACCTCTGAAAATTCTTTTGTAGTGTCTTCAGTATCCACCTGTGCCCATCAGCCCTTCACTGGACTAAACTCAACTCACTAAACTGTCTCAGCCCACTTACTTTGTTCAATATCTTGATTTTTTCTTCATGTATCTATTCCTTTCTCCTGCTTTTATGTATATTCCTATTTCTTCTTTCTTTCTGTGTCTTCTCTATTTCATAATTGTGCATTCCAGTTTATTTCCCATTTCTTGCTCGGGAGTTGTCAGTGCATCTGTCTCCAAACCTCCATTTGCCTCGTGGTATCTCACTTTGCCCATGTTTCAGTTTACAAACTTTCTCCCCTCAGTTTACACACCTTTATCCTGTGGGGCCCTTCTTTCCCAGCCATGTGATCTCCAGTGTTTAGGGAAAATCCTAGGTGAGGTTCCAGCTTTAAAGCTTTACCCACTGTAGTGATATCCCTGATTTCTTTCTGGCTGTAGAAGCAACTGGGAAAAATTTATTTCACAGGAGTCCTAAAATAGGATGAAAATCATATTAAAAAATACTCATTATTCGGCCAAAGCTGGCCTTGATCCTTTCTCCACTGCCTTTTTACCTGTGCCCTGACAAACCTGGGTTCACAGGGAGTTTTTGAGTGACGTTTTTATGTGACCCGTAAAACTTGATGTTTTGCCTGAGGCAGTTGTGATCCTGAAGACGGTTTAAAAACCTCACCCCTTCTTCTACAAAGCATTCTGTTGGTTTGGGCTTTGTTTGGTAGTTTGTTTTTTTTTAGCTGACACAGTGACTCTGCTCACTCGGTACCAGCCATGCAAACTGGTTTTGTGCCAGCGGAGCAGCGACAGCACCGAATTGTTTTGTCCCGGTTCCTGGACTCTGCTTTAACGGTGTGACGCCATCTCCCAGAGTTTTAGCCTTCCTCCCTCTCACTTGCCACTGCAAATCCCAGGAAGATCCCAAATTTTGGGATCTCATCAGAGTTTCTGGCTGGAGGGGAAGGTCGGTCCGTGACCTTGGGTGGGTTTCGAGTCTGTTGAGATTCTCCGGCTTCCCCGAAACAGCGAAATTTCACTGACCTTTTCTTTAGTGCCTCCCTTAACCAAGAGCTATTGACGTGGATTTACACCCTCTGGGATGTAATAAAACACCTTAAATCAGACCTTAAATCCCGTTCGCCCGGAGCGGCGGCGCGCGGGAACGCCCGCGAGTCCCTCCTCTCTCTCTCCCCCACCTTCCCTCTCCTCCAGCACCATGTACGTCTTCGGAGGCTTCAACAGCCTCCTGCTGAGCGACATCCTGAAGTTCACCCCCGAGAGATGCGAGGCTTTTGCCAACGAGTCGTCCTGCCTGCGGGCGGGGCCGGGCGTCAGGTGCGTGTGGGCTCCCAAACCCGCCCGCTGCGTCCCCTGGGAAAACGCCACCCTGGAGCAGCAGCAGAAGGTCTTGGAAGATTGTCCTCCCAAGCCAGGTATGTGCCACGTTCCTTCCATCCCCCTTTTCCCGGAGGTTGTTTTCCCTTTCCAAGGCCTGCCGTGTGCTGGTTGTGTGTCGTTATGAGGTCGCCGTAAGTGCCCGGGAGTCCTTCCCCTGACCAGGTGTTCGTGAAATCTTTCTCCTGTCTCGCTGTTTGGACTTGCTGTTTCCATCATCACCCAGGAATCAGGCCTGGACCATCGCTGTAGATATTTGCTCCAAGAACTGACCTTTTGAGATCCAGCAATTTGCCACGGGGGCAAGGGAAGGGATCTGGATCTGGTGGGGTTGTCCTGTGCTCTTCAAGAGAGGCAGCAGGAATAACTTCAGGAGTAACTTTAGGAATCAAGTTCCTTTATTTTTTGGCATGATCTTTAAGGTCCCTTCCAACCCAAACCCTTCTGGGATCATGTGTATAGGGACAAAATGAATGAATATTTTAAGGTCTGATTCCCGTGTTTTCCCTCAGGATAATTCTAGAACAACTTGATCCCGATGCATTCATTGCCCTGAATTGAATTTAAGGTCTGATTCCCGTGTTTTCCCCTCAGGATAATTCTAAAGCAACTTGATCCCGATGCATTCATTGCTCTGAATCGAATTATGCAGCCCTTGATTCTGTAATAGATTGTCATCCTTTAATTATTTAATAGGAATAGATGTGAGGGGACATTGCTTTGCTGGGCTCTCGATGTACAATAGATTTTCACAAACCACAGGCAACAAATAATTGGCAAGAGAGTGAAAAGTTCAAGCTTGGCATGGAAATGCTCTGCTCGAAGGCCAGGCTTGCAGGAAGATGGTGGGAAATGATCACTTGTCCTTATGGAATGTCTGAACATCCGTGTTTATAATTTCGTGTCTTTCTGCATTTCCTGGTGTGTTTTAGGGCTCCCTGGACACCAAAAATGTCAATAAATGCAATTTTTCCACCAGTCCAAGCCCATGGAAGCCCCTGATTTTAGTTGCTAACAGCAGATGCGCCGCTGTTTGGTTGCATCTTTGGCTGCAGATAAACAAGTTCTTGGAGCTCTGTCGGGAAATGCCTGTTTTTGGTCATGCAGGTTTTTTTCTTTACTAGTTGTAGACAATGAAAAATGTGATCAGATTACAGACTGCTACAGCTGTACAGCCAACACCAACAGCTGTCAGTGGTGCTCTGACCAGTGCATCCCAGCACACAGCAACTGCACCGAGGAGCAGGTAAATGGAATCTGAATATTCCTTGCTTTAAGTTCCCCCTGTGGAATTGCCAGTGCCCCCTACGTTTTCATCCATCAGTGTTATGATCCCTCTTTTCTTACTCCTCAGCTCTAAAGCGCTACATGCTTGCATTTTTTTCCAGGTTGATCCAAGGGGTTTTTGTGGGATTTTCCCGATGGATTTAGGAGGGCTGTTGTGGGCACAGGGAGGGGCAGAGGTTTCCCTGCTGTGAATCACAAGGGTGTGATTAATTCTTAATCACAGTTTGGGTTTGATACCAGCAGAGCTTCACCTAAAAAATAACCAATCAGCCCTCTTGTGGAAGCTCTAGGGAGGAAAACCTGCCGGGTGGCGGCTTGGGGGAACGTCTGGGATACCCAGCCCTGCAGCTTTTGGGTATAGAAATACCAAAAATATAAATATGTTGCTGTTCCTTTTAGGTCCCTATTACTCTCTATGACAATTGTCCCAAGGATAATCCTGCTTATTACTGTAACAAAAAGACAAGCTGTAAAAGCTGTGCCATGGATCAAAACTGCCAGT